GGACTCCGCGGCACACCGGCTCCAGAGAACCCAAAAGCAGTTTGTTTGAGAAATGGAGTCTATTGAACTATGGATGAGAGATGAAGAAAGTACAAACATAATATCCAATTATATTCCTGTTTGACTGAAACGGATGAATTAAGGTCATATCATAATTCTAGGAAAAGAAAAGAGTAAATCCCATTTAGATCTAATCCCAACTCGGAACCAACAACAGAGAGATAATGAAGAAGTGTCAAATTGTAGGCATGAATGGACATCACCTAATACTAGAAACTTAAGCAGCTTTGGTGTAGAAGCGGATGCCAACAGCCAAACCCAATATTGCAAGGGGAACTAGGAACTGCAGAATTTTGATGATGAACTCGGACGTCTTGTCATGATTGTAATTAGGCTGCTTTGGCGGCGTGTAAGTCGTCTTCTTCGGGATGGTTGTGGCATCAATCTCTCCTACGTAGAATTCCTTCATCATGTCTCTGGCACTATCACTATGACCCACATCCTCAAAATCATCAGTTGCATCCTTCCCTAATAGAAAGTGAAAAGAGGTCAAAATGCTTTAAAGCTATTTACAATACTTGAGAAAAAGAATCAACTCCAAGTTACCCTAAACATAGAAAAGGTCTATTGTTTTAAAACAGAGTCCTTCTGCTTAACGACTTATAGTACCGTTTCGCTGTACCTTTTATCCATTAGATGAAGATATCCAACCATAATTCAAATGAAGGTGATCTGTTATAATAATTTTTTTCTCTCTAATGCAACTCTACTTCCATATATGTAGACAATTTATTTGCGAGGTTCATAAAGCTGACTCGTAGACAGATTGTAGCCAACTTCATACCTGTTGCCGACAACAAAACCTCATCTCCACCAGGATGATCCTCCAAGAACTTTGTCACATCGTACACCTGTTCAAATAACCAAAAAAAGGTAATAATGGAGTTTTGCTGAAGCAGCAAAGGCAAGTAGGCAATACATATATATATAAATTTTTTTTTCTTCCAGAGGAAGATGGAAATACCTAAAAGTTCGGGAACCAAATTCAAGGACAAATGTTTCTAGTATACTGAGATAGAGAAAAGCTCTAAAAATTTATCAACCAAAATCAAAGATGAGGACCAATTATTTAAAAACTTTATTCTTGTGTGAATCTCAGACCTACATCCTGCAACAACACGCAGAATACACTTTGAGTAATACTAAGGGTGCATTTGGTTGTAGTGGGGAAATGGTAATGCTAATGGAATAGAATGGAAAAGAAAGATAATTCATTTGTTTGGTTGTAATTTTACAAATACTATGGAATGGACAAGAATTAATTTTATTTGGACAAAATCTCCCTTTTGAAGTGAACTTATTGTTCAGTAATTCCAGAACTTCCAAATGCATTCATTATTCTATTTGCTCACGTAATCATGTGAAATTGCAAGAAAAAATTCCAAATCAAGCTGGCTCAACCAATACATGATTCTCAGCACCATCACGGAATAAAAAACGGCATGTATCTGCTACAACAATTTTTTAGAGACAAATTTCACAGGACAAAAATTAACCCAGAAATTTGAAACAAAAAACCACATTTAATAAATACCCTTAACCCAGAAATTTGAAAGCAAAAAGCCTCATTTAATAAATACCCATGACTATTAAAAAAAAAAAACAACAACAAATGCAGCACCTAGCAACAGATCTTGAATATTCTTTCATTAAAGAACTTTTTTTAAAATTTTTTTGTATAGATCTACACTAAGGAAAAAAAAAAAAAAGAAACATAATAACAAGATGCAACTCTGGCGAGGATTAGACAGATATGGAGATAGTGGTGCTTGGGCAAGGAATTGCAGATCTGACTGGTGCACATCTCCTCATGTCAGAGTGAGTTGCTTCGTCGAGGCAGCGACGATCGAGTGAGGATTTGACTCTTGGGCGAGCAGTTGCAGATCTAGCAGGTCGAGAGATGAACACCGGCGAGAGTTAACGGAGTACAGTAGTAGGAGCGGAGGATAGGGAACAAGAGATGATGAATGAAGAAAGAAGGAAGGAACAGAGCAAATGACAGAAAGGGTCTTACTGGCGGCGTACCTTTCCGGTGAACCTCGCCAGCAAAGTTTCTGGTGAGTTGTGTACAAGGAATGATGGAACGACAAAGGTGGAGAAACTTGAAGGATTAATTATGGGGGAAAAAAAAAAGGATCAGAATGGCCTTTCCTCCCATCCTTGGTGGTAGTGACAATTCACCTAACTAATGGAAAAGCCATTCCTTTGAAATTGGTATTGCCATCTCTAAAATCCAACCAACAAAAATAATTAGACCAAACCAAACGCAGCCGAAGATTTTCAATAAACAGTCAGATAGCAGGTTCCTCTTTCTATCTAAGCTCTCACGAAGGAAACGTGCTTTTATTGTTTAGTTTCTCTGGACTTGTATCTGCTAATGCTGTTTTCATTTTTATTCTCCTGAGGTTTATACAGGTTATTTCCTTCTTACTTGTTATCATGTTGTCAGGCCTCTTTTGCACTTCTGTAAGCAAAACACTTGTTTTTTAAAAAAGACGAAATGAAGAAGAATGAGGGGGAATATCAATTTCTGCATCACTTATGCTTTGATAAGCAATAGCTTTAGTAGAAGAAAGCAAAGCCAAAAAACTTCTGTCACCGGAGATCAAGAGAAGTCAACTACAAAGACATCAAGTCATCAACACAACCTGCTACGTAACTCTTGGCAATTATCTTGATTAAAGTTTTCTTTAATGCATTTCATCCCTCTTATTTTTCATCCAGTTTCATGACTTTTCATTTTCCCTATTTCGCCTTTCTTTGTTCTGATTTCAATCTAATATCCATGTCCATGTCAAGCTAAGTAAAAGCATCAGGAGCCGTATTACAGTTGCATACCTTGTTCTTCCATTTCCAAGCAAAGTGTTTGTACATATTTTTGTTCTTCAGAGTTCAGAAACTTCAGTTTTCAGTCTGAACTATAAAAGAAGCTAATATTCCCTTATAAGCACAAGGAACATACCTTGTCCTACACACAATAATGTTTGGAGCTTCTAAGTTCTCCTTTTAAGGAAGACCTGAATCCTGATGTGGCTAACAATTCTTTGTTTGGGACTTTTTAAGCACAAGAAAGTAGACTTGCACAATCACAGATGCCTTTTAGAAGCATAACCAAATAATTCAAAAAAAAGGGGTTCATTAAAGAAATTGCTCGCAAGCAATGCAGCCACAGTAACTCTAACAAGTGATAATGTCAGAAGACTTTTTTCCAATCATAGGGTACCTAGAAATTGTAGTTAAAATTAGGCCACGCGACATGCAGCCAAGCCACACCCGATGAAACTTGTGTACTTTAAAAGTTTTATTTTCTTCATTTATGTTATGTTTTTTACTGTGTACTTTATAAGTTTTGCAAAGAAGATATGTATAATACCCTTTTCATGGGACTCGGCAATCCTCAACTCCTTATTCACCCGGATTGTTAAGAGGATAGCATGGAAGAACTTAAAAACTAAAAAAGTTAACCCCTTCATGATTTGTAACTTGGAGTTCCAACGGCGCGTAATCCAGGTTATTATCAGAATGCAACCCGTCGCTTGAACCTACATATCCTTTTAAAGAAGAAAACTAAAGACATTTGGATCTAAGACACTTTTAGCTATTGCAAAGAGATTTTCAGATTACTTATGCAAGACAAGACTCTAATAATTTCCTTAAACACGTGATATCGTTCAGATTACTTTATATCATGTCAATAAAATATGAAAGCGGAGCAAAATCTTTGTGAACTAGCCAAGCAAGACATTTTGAATTGACAAGCACCAGAAAGTACTACCACTAAGTGGGAAATTCCTTTTGCCATCCAGAACCCCAACAAAATCAGTGATCATAAAAAGATGCAAACTTTGAGAAGCCATAATAAAAATTAAGGAGATCAACATTTCACATGCAGAGACTCAAAGCTAAAAGATTTCAGCATCTGATAAGCCAAAACCATTAATTCGGCCAAAGAGAGAAATTAAGCAAATTTATGAAGGTTCAATATTCTAAACATAAATGTAAAAGTAACCCAACAACCCATAACTGAATTTCATGAATCAACAAGTTAAGAAATCTTGTTAAACATAAGTTTCTTCTGTAAACAAATAAGCTATCCTTAAAGTGAGATAAGAAGAAAACCCATCACTCAAACTCAAAAGATAACCATAAACAAATACGTAATCTTCACAAATGCGTTAATTGAGACCATGAAATGTTGTTCTCCAAAAAGGGTAAAATTTTTCATTTTGATAATACCCAAAACTTCACTTGAAAAAAAAAAAAAAAAAAGCGCCAGGAGAAGAGGTTACCTTGCCACTGATAATAAGCCAACAGTCCTTGGAAGTGTTGTGGTCGGAGACTTCAGCCAAAGTGAAGACCTTCCCATCACCACCCATTTGGGTTTCTGAAGCAAATACAAGGCCTCGGAGAGGAAAATAGGAGGATGGGTGCTTTTATTTATGCCTCAAAACCACAAAGCTGATATCACTCAACTCTGTGGACTGATGAACACAGACGGTGAGCAAATTGAATAGTTAGAGAGAGAGAGAGAGTGTGTGTGTGTGTAATGTGCGTTGTGTTTTATTGAGCGGTGGTGATGGTGGTGAGCGACATTGAATGAAGTTTTGGATGGTAGGTAGGTGTAGGTAAACTTGGTGACCCTTTTTCTGGCCCTGGCGGCCAATTCAAGGCTGCCAGTTTGTTTGGTAATTTTGGTGGACCGTGGACGGTCCATTTTGTTTTGTTTTGCTGTTTTTATTTTTACTTTTAAGTTTTTTTTTTTAAAAGTGACAGTTTAGACATAAATTTTTGTTTAATAAAATGACTTTTAATTTATTTAAAAAGATGTAATCTCATCTTTTCTGTTAAATTCTATTAAATTTTTAACAAAATTAATTATGTACAAGACATATAATTTTGTTAAAAAAAATATTTTAGTAAAATATCAAGCAAGTTCTCTCTCTCTCTCTTTCTCTATCACATTCTTATGCTCCTCTATCAAATTCTGCATGAATCCATCTCTATCTCTCTGCAACTCAATCAAACTCTTTTCATACTCTTTTCCTCCTAAACACCTCATCAACGAAGGTTGGTACTGATTCAAAAACAGATCATATCTCACACATTTTCTTTAGATTCAGATTTCAGATCCATTTTTCTCATTATCGCATTTTCTTTCTTTTCAATAACGCAAGCATATCGCTTTTCTTAACTGGGTATCCTGATTTGAATTTCTGTATTTTCTTTTTCCAACGCCGAATGATTTCAATGCCTATAACTCTTTCTGAATCTTATGCAAATCTTTTTTCCTGTAAAAAAAAATGCAAATCTTATTGACATATAAAAATATTCGATGAGAATCTGTGTGATCCGATGCTGCAGGGTTATTTACTTTCATTTCTTGAATCTAAATGAAATATCTTGCAGATTTAGACATCAGATCAGAGACATTTCCATCTTATAATGTTTGGCTCTTTGCAGGTTGAGAAATGGGCCGTGGAGTGAGCGCTGGTGGAGGGCTATCTGTTTGGAAGTGGAGAGACTCCTGCTAAAAAAGCCAAAGCCAAAGCCCAAGCCCAAACCCAAGCTGCTGCTCCTGCTGCTCAGAACCCAGGGGAGGCTTCTCCTCCTCAAAAAATAACTGTTTCTCCAAAGCCTTCAATTGACAAGTAGATTCCATCAGGGATTCATGGCAGTCCTACAATTAGAGAAAATGATTGCTTGATCAAAACTTGGGAGAAAGGGATAATTTTTTTGGGGGCATTTAAGTCATTTTATTGAAAAAGGAGATCACGTGATGGGTCACGTGATATGTTATGTTAAAAATTTAACGAAATTTGATGGAAAGGACCAAACTGTCATCTTTTAAAGAGGTTGGGGGTCGTTTTATCAAAAAGAAGGTTAGGGACCAAACTGTCACATTTTAAAAAGGTTAGGGACCATTTGTGCAAAATACCATTTCTTTTTTATGTTTTGAGGTTCACGCGTTCAAGTTAGTGATTCTGATTTATTGATAAGAACTATGTGAGAAAAAAAAATTAATTCAAATTGTTCATGGAATGAAAAACACTAACAAAATTAGAATTGTAGGTTCAAGCATAGGAACAAAATGGAGCCTAAGAGTATGTTTGGTAGAAAAGAAGGAGAGATGGAAGGTTGGAGAGGGTGGAGATAGGGAGATACAAAAAAAGTCCTAATTCATTGTTTGGTTGAAAGAAGAAGACCAGGGACGGGAGATGTGGTTTTCCTCATCGCCCATTAAATTAGATCTTCTATTGACGGAAGAATCTAAGCAATCCCTCAACTTTAAGTATTAAAAGAGTATTTTACCCTCTAAAGAAATTAAGATTAATTACAAATTTTTTTTACTGAATTATACTCTTTGTAACACTTTGCCCCATGATCTTTAAAACGTAACATTCATTCCCTCTTAACAATGAAATGTTAACAAAAAGCCCCATCTGTTAGGTTTTTAACTAAAATTAACATTTAATTTGCTATTTTGAGGGTATTTTAAAAATTCTATAGTTTAAAATTTAATTTGTATTTAAACTAATTTAAATATTAAAAAAATTCAAAAAATTTGTTATGCTATTAAAAAAAATTTATAAAATTTTTAACTTACATTCGATCAATAATGAATGTATCATAAATAAAAGTTTAAAATTAAATTGGTTTAAAATTTAAATTAGTTTTAAATTTAAACTAAATTTTAAACCATAGAGCTACTAATATATCCCAAAATAACAATTAAATGTCAATTTCTGCTAAAAAAACTTAAGGGAGGGGGATTTTTTATTAACATTTTATTATTCAAGGGAATAGATGTTATGTTTTTAAGATTAGGGGGCAAAGTGTTACAAGGGTATAGTTCAAGGGGAATTTTTATAATTAATCCGAGAAATTATTAACAAATTGTTTAATTGGACAATATAATAACCTAATAAATAATTATGATATATCTTTTGAATTCTCCCTTCATCCTACTGAACAATATGAAGGATTTACTATAATTATCTTTATCCTTCCTATTCTTCATCCCTCTAACTATCTACATCCTTCCTACTCTATATCCTCTAACTAAATGGAGTCAGAGAGATTTGAGTGGCGTAAATTTACCGTTAGGTAATACATTGGATTTGTGCTTATCTTTTAATACTTCTAATTGAGTGTTTTGTTAGTTTTAGAGTGGTTTTAGTAGTTATGTTTTTATGTTAATTACTATTATAATTATTTTTTTCCTTTTCAATTATGTTCTAAATTCTATACTAGGGCTACAAGTGTAGCCAAGACATGAATATTTGATTTCATTTATTTTCTTTCAATGAAGTTTATTCACTAAGAGTTTTTCATTCATGAATGTGTTTCTTTTATTGTTCTTAATGCTTTCAATAAACTGATCACTTATTGAATTGAATTGAAAACCTAAATTGAAACCCCAAAAGGAGATTTTTAGGAATAGTTTCTAATAAAAGGAACCGTAAGGTGCGTAGGACATCGAGAACTAGTAATACGACTTGCGAGAGCAATTTTAGAAAAATCAAAGAACTTAATGAATTTCTAGGATGGTGGAATTCACATCTAGCGATAGTGAACTTACATGTTAGAAATATTTTCAATAGCATCCCCAGAAAGACTATTAGATAAATTAGGATTTTTCGTTCAACTACATGAATGAGAGGCGATGTTAGCGAATAATTGGAATTAAATAGGAATTGTCTTGGTGAAACTTGTATGCTCTAGTGTTGTCTTTGCATTGATCTCTTTTCATAATTATTTTGCGTATAATTTGTGTTAATTTATTTTGCTTTCTTTTCAGTTTTAATCTATTACAGAGATTTTATTTGTCTAGATAAAGTTAAAAATATCAATTTCAATAATTGTTAAGCTAGTGTCCGTGGGAACGATGTCATTTTCACTCATTATATTACTTGTGCGATTCGTACGTTTGTAAAAAATCACATCAAGTTTTTGACGTCGTTGCCGGGGATTGTTGCTTAATTTTGATTAATATCGATACTAATTAGCTCTAGGATTAATTTGAATTTTTTTCTTCTTTTGTTTTTCTTCTAATTTTCTTTTTCGAGCTTTTTTTTTTCTTTTACAGGTAAAATAAAAAAAAAATGATGACTGAGTTGGAGATGGGCCGAGCCATCATTACTTTCGCTCAACACGACATTGAACCGCTTCATCGAGCTTGGGAGAGATATAATGAGCTATTGGCTAGGTTTTCACAGCATGGTATTCCAAAGTGGTTTCAACTTCAAATTTTCATTAAAGGATTGAGCACAACAACCAAAAGTTGGGTTGAAGATGGCTATGGTATAACTCCATTCTGAGGATGAAACCTACCAAATGATTTTATCAAGATTGATACATTCGGGAGAAGTTGTTAAGGGAATTCAAGCCTCTAAAGGAAGATGAGCTTCAAGAAGAAGAAGAACCCTTCGAATCTATTTTTGCTAAAACCTTAGCGCAGTCGGACTCTCGTGGTGTCGACACCGATTTGCAAGTAACAAGGTGTCCATCCAAAACCATGAGTTTTATGAAGATCAAATTGCATGCATGGCTATGGATAGCGAAGTTGAGAGTGAAGAGAAATTGGATGGATTATTTGAGGATTTCCTAGATGAAGAAGAGGCATGAGAACCATTAGAGGATGAAGAAGCAAACGAGACCGTTGAATTGAGCTCATTAGTGGTCTTATCATACACACCAACAATGGATCCTTACTTCCCTCCGACACCACCATCACCATATTATGTCCTTTACATGATCGAGCCTAAAGAGAAGTTCTCCACCCAAGCTCATAATCAATTGAAGCGAAGTCGTGTTGGAACAATGAGCTGAATACTTCCAAATCATGCCAAGCTTGAGGGCATCCATAATCTAGACCCATATATCGTGTTGTATGACACTTATTATGGGCAAAAGCCATTCTTTGACGAGCACTTCTCTAAGCGTCCGGCTAAAGACATTAAAGCAAGCGCTTCTTGGGAGTTGTTAGACATTAAAGCAAGTGCTTATTACTCACCAGCCGCTGGTCACAATGATGATGATAGTGAGGGCACCTAACATGGCCCTCACCCAGGTATGTCATCCACGCTTCCACATTCTTTATCACAACATTGAGGACAATGTTTCTGTTTAAGTTTGGGGGGAATGTCTCTTTCGCTCTTTCATTTTTCATTTTCTTGTTCTTTGTTACTTTTAAAAAAAAAAGAAGTAAAAGTGACGACACTAAGGCCGATGATGAGATTGGTTTTGCTTGCTTCTAGTTTGAGAGAAACTGATGAATATTGTATTTTGTGTGTGCTTGATCCTTTTTGTTAATTTTTGCTTTGCTTGGGACGCTATGACATTCTGAGCACTAGCTTAAAGTTGTTTAATCATTTTGCTTACTTGGAGAAAGATTATGTGACTTAAGCAAACTCAACGCCCTCTAGAATTAAACATGTTTAATTATGCTAAATTGTGAGTTATTAGTGTGCCTAATTTGATTTTCACAATTAATCAATGAACTTTAAATTATTTTCAGTATTTATAATTTCACCCCAAAATTTTTTGAAAATACACTTAACTTTTATTGCATTTTTCTTTCTTTTTTTTTCATTTTTCCCTTTTCCTTTTCTTTTCCTTTTCTTTTCTTTTTCCTTTTTCCTTTTTCT